GATTTCAAGAGAATCACATCGCCAACTTTGCATTGGAATTGACCCATCTGGGCGCCAACGATTTTGCGTTTTTGACGAGCGGGGCGGGAGGATCGTCTGCGGCTACGTTTCACCGGGGTAGCATCTTTAGCTTCACTTTCCTGGGTAATCTCTTCATTCTGATCGTAAATCCATTCCCACGGAAGGTCCTCGACGCCTAGTTCATCATCAGAATCGTCTCGAACCAGAGCTCCCTTGGTCATCCATTGGGCACGCTCATGGGCGCTGCGCCTCTGAGGCGAAGTGTCTGAATCGCTACCGCTCATCGGGGGCGCGAGAAATGTGACCAGGTAGAACGTGCGATGAAGAAGGAGAAATCGCGCTGGACGCGTTGTCCACTTTCGTCCCTTTTGGGTTTAGTCCGGCAAGGAGGTCTGGCCAATCAAATGCATCTACCTCATAGTAAGACAGTAAGTCGTCAAACTATCAACACCTTCCTATCCCGGCGTTACCACGATGCATGGTATAAACTTAATAGGGTCATCCAAAATACGTGCCCAGGTGATCCTGATTGTCTAATATGTTACATATTAGCTTAACGCAGGATGGTGCGATTCGCTCATGGTGCTCACCTAAATCTCGCATTTTTATAGTCTACCTACTAATGCCCTGGGGAATCTTAGATTATTTTGAAGGGTTAATCTTACTCTATAGTTATATGTACTATCCTTTAAAGCCATGATAAATAATTGAAACAGCAGTTGATCACATTTGCCAGATGCTTCAAGATTGCAGAATAATTGTATATACCCCGGATCAATAATATTCCGGAACCCTAACATCCACCGAAATTTAACATCTCCTGGTGGATCAGGTTTATATAGATATTTAGGTAGGTAAGGTAACTCCCTACCGGAGTTCTTTCAACTCAATTTCTCACCACTTAGAAGTATTACATAACAGGAACCTGAAAATGAAATGCATTAGGCCTCATTTACCTTTCACATCAACACAGTTACTAAGAACCAGGCGCATGATTATTATGAGGAGATTGATTTCTGGATATCTGGATCCATCAATATCTTCTATTATAGCGAGAAAGTCAAATGTAGGATGAGCTGGATGTGCTTACCTAGTCACCTGGGGGTCTCCCGCTTGCTCAGGTGCTACGTAGTTTGTACATAATCAATAAGCGCGGAAGAATCTACCTACTTATGTAGGTATGGATGCATACTCTTACTCTTTTGAGTAGCCCCCGCGCGGTTCTATGCAGGAATGGATGCATGGATGCTCCTACTCTTTGATGAACCTCTAGATAAAAAGCTTTAGCCTCATGTCCCTAACTCTCCCTTTAAGTTGCTCGGCTCCCTGACACATCGTCTTCGCTCTAATTCGTTCCTACCCTTTATCTTTCTTATACTTCCCACCTGCGCTACTTTCCTTAAGTTGTGCACTTAGTTCCCCCCGGTAATAAATTTTCGCCCGGTTCCATCACCCTACAATCGATTTGTGCTCAGTTCCATCGCACCTTCACCGACAAGGAGCGGTTTAATACATCTTCGATTTCTTTCACTTGCCTGTTTGATATTTCTGAGATAAACGTGTTACCTTCTTTCGGCTTGGCCCATTCCAAAAAATCCGTCGTGTGGGACATCACTGTGGTCACCGAATACCTGCCGCTACCTGATTCCGCTAAAATGACGTCTGTGCCCCAGTCTCACGAGAAAGAGTAAGTATACCTTGCGTACGGATATTTGAAAGTACATTCAGCTAATACATTCTGCCAGCTGGGAGCGTCTCAATGCGAAATGTGAGAGACACCCTGGTTTCAATTATGGTTTTAGGTACTAACCTATCTAGCATGGGAACTGCCCAACTACGGCCCAGGTCCAGATTTTGGTCGCGGTACCATCTACCGACAAGACTATGACGAGTACGCGCAGGATAAACATGCTGGTAATGATGCGGAAGATGATTTCGAGGATATGAACAATGATTCCTCTGCCGTTGACGACCTGCCACAGCCTCCAACCCTAACGGTGCCCGTAACCGGTCGGTCTCTCCAAAGTGTACTTCATGTACCCACGCGATCACCAATTCCAAGTCAAAGCGCCTTTCCAACCCAGGCAGTTATTACCGAACCTAGAGCAGGACGAACTCAGGCACTAGAGGGGCCAATACTCAATGAGCGCGGGCCTAACACCGGCAGTTCCAATACATTCGCACGACAGCAACAGCATTTGGCAGGTAATCTCAAATCGGGTCAACGTGCCCCTCTCAAGGGGGGCCATAATTTCCCATCACAATCACGGGTTCAGTCAAAAAGAGGCAGTACTATTGCATCTGCTTCGAAATACAGAACTAAGAATCCGCCCCTCGCACCAGGGCAAAATGACTATTATTCCAAGGCGAAGTGGCGCAAGGGCCTTCCTCCAGATGGTGCGTGTGCTCACATCAACTGCAAGCACATTACTAACAGTCAAATAAGCTTCTTATCGTTTGCCTTATGAATGTCAAGTATTCCAAGCAAAGTGAGTATATAGAGCTTTGCAGTCCTTGGTCTTGGAACTAATGTAGACTCAAGGATTAGACAAGTAACTCCAGGAGAAACTTCCAACATCGATTTCCGCCAGAGAATTATCGACGAGACTGGTGCCTATGTGAGGATCAGTGTGGGAAATGCCAAAGTCAGTTCCCCCTAGAATTCTCCCACATATGAGGGACTGAATATGCTAATAGCCCTAAAGCTTGTTCACATTTGGGGCAAGCAAAATCAGGTTTTGGAGGCCCAAAAAATGCTTCAAGATATGTTGAGTCGGTTGATGCAGCAGCGGACTTTGCCTGGAGCATCGCGTTGGGCCAAGATACACGCGCATTCAAATACAAAGGTTGCCCATGCCCGGTCGCAGGAAACTCACGAGGAAAGATTATCCGAGATGCGAAATCCACCGAGAATTGCTGCGGATTACACAGTATGGATAACCCCCTGCTAGCCCTAGTTGTTTGGGTACTTTACGGAGATTAACTGATTCTTGGTACTACAGCTTGCCTTCCTCTGGCCTTCAGACGGCCCCTCGCTGAACTATTTTATTACCGCCCGGCGTGAGATCCTCGATTTCATTCGCTTGAAATATGACGTGAATATCTACATGAAGCCTGGTATCCCAGACTACCTTTTCATGGCTGGGAATGATGAGCGGGATATATGCATTATTGCATCTCGATTCCGAGAGCTGTGGGAGAGGCTAATGGTCCAACACGAGACAGAAATCAAGCTGTTTCTCGTTGCGGCGCCCCGGGCAGAGCTTATGAGAACCCACGTCATCCTGCAACAATCCGGTGGGCTCTCACAACCTGTCCTTTGCGGACCGGAACTGGCACCAGACGTAGCCGCGAGCTGGGAGACCACTGCTGATGAGATCAAGGCCAACAACAAGAGCATTGTCACCACCCGTCTTAGGAAAGCGCTGCATGTGATTCCTCAATTTCGGGGATTCTTGCAAATGCGTGCAAAGTTCGGCTCGTTCACGTTGCAACAGTGGCGCAAGCCGAAAGATGGCACTTCTTATGAGTTCGCAGAGTTTCGCGAGATGCTTACACATATGAACACCGAAGGACGTTTGGTTCCGGGGTATGTTATCACCCCAGCCGGAATCTGATGGTTTTGCTGACTGACTTATCTTTTTAGAATCCGGCTGCAGCAAGATGAGATATTCAATCGAATCATTGCATCAAAGTTTCTTAAGCCATGGGGTAAAGCCAAAATCGAATCCCTCTTGAATTTGATGCCTAGATATTCCGCCAACTTCGAGTACCAAGTGAACAATGATTCAGTGATTCGCGTGGAAGCGAAATTCTCTCTTCCACTTGGCTCGCAGGAGTTTGAAGTCAACGGAATCCGTTGCTTCAAATCGAAACAGATCAGTGCTCCTGTTGATCGTCAGATGCCAATGCAGATCAGCATGATTGACTTTGAAAGGTTTGTTTACCCTAGATTCCTTTGGAATTTTGCTGTAAGCTGAGTTTGAATCTAGGTCCGACTGGCAATTTGAAGTGAAGGCTCTTGAACTATGCCCTGAAAGGGAGATGTCCCCTGAGCTAGAGAAATTCATACATTCTATTGGTTTCCAATGGAGCCCAAATGCGAAGAACATTGGATGCGCTCCCCAGCGCAAAGCGAGATTCTCTTATGGTTCGCCGGTCAAGCGCTTCATTGAAAAGGCCGCAATCCAGCTTCGAATTAAAGAATCGCCGCATGTATTCGAGCTCTCTCGCTTCGACGAGTACACGTACGCGGCTGGTCACTGGTCGATGACCCCGAAAGTGTCCTGGGGAGCATCGCTGTTCAATCCTAGTTGGGATGATATACTAGGTGAGCAGGCTGATGTCAAGCCCGTCGACATTTCCAAGGATGGGTGTCTGTCGGTGTTCTTTCCCCCACCGGGGGATGGCGAGGAACATACGGATAAGCAGAAAATAGACGATGAGATCCGCAAGGAGGCTGAAACCAGAAAGATAGATGAAGAGAAGCAGTTGAGCGTTTTCATGAGCGCTGTCCAGAAGATTGCGCGGATGCTGGCGAATCCTGGCGCGGAGATGCCCGAGGTCCTCGAGACTGATCTTGGAAGTCTGTTCTAGTCGAGTCAGCAAAATCGCGCCAAAGCCAAAGTTGTCGCATCTTGTTGGACCAGAAGGACCAATTCAAAGAAGAACTAAATCGACAAAAAGAGAGAAAAAAAAAAAAAAAAAAAAGAATTACTACCGCCTGGCTTGCTTATCGAGCCAAGATCATTTAGGTATGTAGCAATAAAAGTCCAAATTCATATTTGAAGTTATTCCTGGTTTCCAAATATCGGAGAACCTCTTAGGCCCTGAATGTGTAGTCCTCTCGTCTCGTTCTTCCGATTGTACTCCATCTTCAGTTTTCTTCCAAAATGGGAGATATAAACCCTGCATATGATTTCGATTTGGATTTCTCTATGGGAAGTCACGTTGACCTATTCGTACCACGTGGGTAGAATTTAGCCCGCAGCGGCCTGAGGAGCACCTTCTGAGAGCATCTTCTGCCTCAATGCTGTTGGAGAGAGGTTAGCAATTGAAAGAAAAGGGTCCTTGTAAGGAGATAGGAATCCCGCCTCCTAATATCCAGGAAAGGGCCAACTCACTCTCTTCTACAATGCGCAGTTGCGAGCTCTTGGTTTGTACGATCTTCTCCAACTCCTGCAAGTTTGCCTCCAAGCCCTTGACCTTAACATCGTAAAATGCAATCGCCTTGGGCGCAGTCTAAAAACACAAGATAATTTGTCAGCCCGACCAATTCCCACCACCGACATCGTTAAATATAGCCCCGCCACCACATACCTTTTCAACATAAAATCCAGTTCCGACATCAACAAGCACCTTCTCGCGATCTGTCAAGCGGCCCTTGACATACAGCGAGCTGGTGAGGGGCACGAGGATCTCATCACGACCATCGGTTCCCTTCTTCTCGTTTCCAATCACACCGTCATTGATCGAGCGTACGCAGTCGCGGAACTTGGCTTGGGCGGCGCGTAGCTTCGTGTGCGAGGTGGTCAGGTGTTCCAATTCGGAGGTAAGGCGGGTTTGGAGTGCGCGGAGCTGAGGAACGGAGAGTGAGGCAAGATTAACTGATTCCAGGTGGTTAGCTGGGTATTTATGTCCATATGACACGGAGAGCCGGAAGCCGGCGCTGCAGGCGTCATCTTGGTGCTTGGGAGGATTGAAGACGCACTTCCTTGGGGAGCTCCGTCTGAGGATGGGGCGTTTTGTGACATTTTGGAATCCGGGAGGTAGAATAGGGTACTTGAGGAAATCAATTCCGGATCGTGGGTTTGTGTTATTGTAGATCAGGTCCTCGCATTGGGACTGTATGTGTATAGGTGGTGGGGGAGCTTCAGAAAACTCCTGGGTTGAATGCGTGGCGATTGTGGTGATAGTGGCGGGTTATGTTTATACACACGCACCTGACCACCTCACTTCCAAGTAACTTGTACAGACCATATCTTTGACAATGACCAAAGGCTTAATTTCAACCCTATATTATATTTAGACCTTCTAAATTTGCTAAATATAAGTTGTCGGTGTATACTCCATGTATTCATTATCTATGACTACTTGGAGGTAGAATGTTATCTGCGGGGAAAAGATCACTCCGAAGATTCCCAGTTCTCCGCTCCGCTCCGTAATCCTTCTTCACTACACCTCAATGGCTTCAAGACTGGCAGCATGTGAAGCTTGCCGAAAAGCAAAGGTCGCCTGTGATCATAAGCGGCCGGCATGTACTCGGTGTGTAAGTAACGATAGAGCTGCAATCTGCATTTACCGAACGACTCCTTTCAAAAGAAAAAGGGTGGAGAGTTCTACACCCCTGCAGTCTCCTAGGTATGCGATATGTGATTATATTCGCTTTATTCCCACATGCTTATTGAATCTGCAGTCGGTTACCTCCGGCTCAGCCATCCTTCACCCCAAGGAATAATCCCTATCCGAACCCGGGCTTTCTAGGATCCTCTAGCCATGTCGCTATTTTCAATGAAATTTCCCCCCAAGACTATCATACATCCGATACATACCATCCTTCTGAGGATATGACGATGTTGATGCAGTCCCAGTCCACTGGCGAGAATATTTTGTTAATTCAAGGCGCAGATATTCTCAGGCAGCTGTTAAACACATTTCCACTCGCCGCCATGAAGGATTTTGTTACCTTCTGGCTAGCAACGGGAGCGAACCTAGCTCTGGCAGAGCCTTTTACTGAGAAGTGCACTGAAGACATGACCCGCCTATTCACGTCCTTCTCGCAAGAAGACAACTGGCATTTGGCATACGCCCAACGTCTAACTCAAAATTCCCGGGAACCTTTGAGGTTTAGCAGCACGTCCGACATGGAAACTTTCTCTGCACAGTTCCTTGACCAGAAATTCCGATGGGAAAGTCTAGGTATTTTCCTCTCTGCTGTGAGTCGAGCAGCAATAGATATATCATTTTTCCCGCCATTGTTCAAAACCGAAAAGGATCAGTTTATCCTTCGAAGGCTATCTACAAAGCTCAGTGATCTTGCGTTAGATATCGCCCTCTCGCTGGATTGCTTGAACGATCTACAACTGGTTCTACAGTATGAGAACTTTATTGTACACACCCATGTTGATGGGGACCAAAGTAAGAAACCCCCCTCAGTTTTGTTTGTAAAACTCGCAGCTTATCGAGAATTAAGGCTATCATTCATGGAGTAGACTTGGAGATGTTGTGTCGTCTATGTTTGCACTTGGATACCATGAGAATGTCGAAAAAACCAAACCCCAAATTCCGAATTTTCTTGCGGAGTTACGAAAGACGGCTTGGGCCACCACATACTCAGCGGACAAGAATGTGGCTATATTCCTAGGTCGTCCACCTCGGATGAGCAAGCGGTTCTGCCATTTTCAAGTACCTTTGACCCCTACGAGCTCGGATCAGGTTTGGAACACGTCGCACGTTGAGGACGAGGTCGTTAGATGGAAAACAGATACACCAATCTGCTACATGTCAGGTATCAGGTGGTCAACCCTCTGTGCTGCGCTGAAAGAAGATGTCCTCGAATTGCTCCGATCAAAGCAACGCGAGAATTTCAATCAGAAAGCTAGGTAAGCCAAAGCCATATAATGTAGGATTTCCTTGGTCATACTAATTTTTGACATAGCATCATCCGGCGAAAAGCTGAAATTCAATGGGAAAATCTACCTCCTCGCTTCCGACTTTCGGGCGCTCTGAAAGAATGTTCTGGGGATGCATTCGAACGCGACCTTCTAGTTAGCATACGCCTGGACCAACTACATGTTCTCTTTCTACTTCAATTGGCGTTTCTCGATACTCTGACCGAGCCCGATTCGTCTATACTCGACATCTCGGAGCAAATGCTTTCTATTGTAGTGGACAGTATTCTTCTACGAGACCAACTGGTGAACTCTGGAACAGGACTTGTTTGGAAGGTATGTTTATCTACTTCCAGGATCAGAACCTGTACTTACTAGATTAAACCCCGATTAGATCGCCCACTTCGGCCTCCCAGCTTCAGGGATTATCCTTCTTTCAATGCTGAAACAACACCGCACACTAATCCAAGGAAGAGACTCATGGTCTAAAACAATACTCAATCTCGGTATCTTTGTTGCGCAGGTGCAGGTAGGGAGCATCGTTCGGCGCGGAGACCCAAACTACGCCTTGATATCAAAGGCGACACAGACGATTGAGCGCTTCCTCGATTCTATACACCGTGAAGGGATACAATCGCCAACGCAACTGCCACCACATCTAGGAGAGAATGGCGATTGGGCTGCATTTTTCAGCCAGGATCTGTGTGATTTCGAGACTGACTTTTGGGAGAACCTCGCGTATCACCCTTCTTTGTTGGCTTCGGATCCTAGTTTGCCTCCGATATAGTGAATGGACATATTTATGTACAGGAATAATATACGACGAAATTGTCAATTGCTTAGATATGGAATTGCAACCACCGAAAAGAATAATTCTTAATATCAATCTGTTCATGTATAACACGTGGTACCCTATATACCATTCGACTATTACATCTCTACGCGGCATATTCACGATCGTTTAGGAGATTGTCTTAAGCACATGTGGATAAATCCACTCAAAGAATGGCCGCACGTGCACTTATAATTATTTCAAGGTACGTAACAAGTAATTGAAAGAAGGCATATTTACCGTATCAAATAATCAAGGCTTGATAATAAACACTGTAGTCTAACATAAAATCAAGTAGCATATCAAAGATATATCTAATGATTCTAAGGCCTGCATTGTCTATGTATTATAATCACATTTGGTTCTTCATCTTCTTCTGTTTTGCTTTTTATGTTATAAAACCCATATATATACACCCTAAGCTGTGTTAAATCGTCATGGAATAGATCACTTACCTGTCTATATTTGGGCCCTTCTAGAGCTCCTCATCCGGTTCTTCTGGAGCAGGTTGGCGGCCTATACGACCAAGATAATCTCGCATCGTAGACCACACGCCAGGCCCTGGTTCAACTTCCTTATTCTTAACCTTAAAAGCCGTATAGTTTTCGTCCATCGGAGTATCGCCATCAGCATCCAGGCTTCGTGAATCATTCTGAAGACGAGTCACTTAGAGTGGTAAAACTAGTCCATTCGGTCTTCTCCTTTGGCGTGTTAGCATCGGTCGATCTCTTCTTTTGAGGCGGGGCAGTCTCTGAATCCCCTGGGTCATCTCCAGCCCGTTTGCGATTAGTACGTTCCGTAGTACGTGTGAAAGCATCTAGCCCAGTGCAAGGCGGAGATGGAACTTCCGCAGGAACCGGCACATAGTATCCAGGTTGTGGGCTACCCGGGAGAGGACAGTGAAGAACTTCCGGTGCAATCACGAGAGGAAGATCCGGATCTATACCAACACCAGGGGGAATGAGAGGAACATGAGCAGGAATGGGGCTAGGGGCAGGAAAATCATCAGTAAGAATGAGAGTAGTTGTGTCAGTAGTAGGAGCATTACCAGAATCCGTACCGGCATCGCCAGCAATTGCCTCCGTAACAGCCTCATCAGCAGTGAAAGCAGGAGTGATTCCAGGATAAGGGGCCCCGACAGGGACATAACCAGAAAGATAAAGAGGAGATATCTCACTAATAGGAGCATTACCAGAATCCGCACCGGCATCCCTAGCAACTGCTTCGGCAGCAGCCCGATCGGCAGCGTCATCTGCAGCGATAGCAGCAATCAAAGCTGCAGCGAAAGTAGGACTAATTGAACGAGAAGGGGCACGGGCAGGGACATAGTCAGTACGAAAGGCAGGACTGATTCCAGGAGAAGGGGTACGGTCAGGGGCGTCATCAGTAAGAATAAGAGGAGTGTTACCAGTAGGAGCATTACCAGAATCCGCACCGGCATCTCTAGCAATTGCCTCCGCAGCAGCCCGATCAGCAGCGAAAGCAGCAGCAAAAGCAGGTGTGAATCTAGGAGTAGGGGCAGGGGCAAGAAGACGTCCAGGAACACAAGCGGGAACAAGGGCAGGAGTAGGAGCGGGGGCAGGGGCGGGAATAGGCGCTGGAATAGGGGAAGGGGCAGGAGTACGAGCGCGAATAGGAATCGGGGTGGGAGCAGGAGCGGGGGGAGGAGCAGTAGGAGCGGGGGAAATGGCGGGGGCGGGGGCGGGAGTGAGAGTAGGGGTAGGGGCAGTAGGACGGGCAGGAGCACGAGCACGAGTGGGAGCGGGGCCAAGCGTAGGGGCAGGAACGGGGGGAGGAGCGGAAGAAAGGGCGGGACCAGGAGCGAGAGTAGGGGCAAGGGAAGTAGGACGGGCAGGAGCAGCAGGAGGAGCGGGAGTGGGAGCAAGCGCAGGGGCAGGAGCGGGGGGAGGAGCGGGGGCAAAGGCTGGACCAGGAGCGAGAGTAGGGGCAGTAGGGCGGGCAGCACCACGAGCGCGAGCACGAGCACGAGCACGAGCACGAGCAGCAGTAGGAGCAGGAGTACGAAGAGGAACACGAGCAATAGGAATAGAAGCATCATAAAAAGCAGGAGGAATAGGAGTACTAGCAATAGGGGCAGGAGTACGGAGAGGAACACGAGCAATAGGAATAGGAGCATTAGAAAAAGCAGGAGGGATAGGAGTATCAGCAGTAGGAGTAGCAGGATGAAGATCTGGAGCAGTGGTAAAAGTGAGAGGAATAATAGGAGGAGGAGTAAGTGCTGCCGGAGGGTGAGGGGCAAGGCCGCCTGGAGCAGCAGGGAGAGGGACAACAGGAACGGGGTCAACAACAGGATAAGTTGGATCTACGGCTCTCCATGTAGCATCAGTGAAGCGGTAAAATCGAAGAAGATCGAATAGACGCTCGGTGAGGTCCACTCGATCTGGAGCATGAGCGAGAACTAGAGCTGGAAAGTCATTGTGCCTAGCGGTGATCCTACGTCTGATATCAAATCCCTTCTTACCTGTGAATACTGAATTCCAATGGCCTCCTTTTGAAAGACAATCGTACAACATCGGATTGTAGATCTCTCGGAGTAAGTGGACGACGGCTTGGGCACCTCCAGGGTTCGCGGCCATATTAATACCAATTGAGTGAAAAAATGAATCTTCGTGCTTTACGTTCATGTTCATTCTCATATTTGTGAAAAAGCGAGCCATGTTGGAAAAGGTTGATCAGAGGCGAATTTTATAGAAGTTAATCTGTTGGCTTGTTTGTGTTATTGGCTTGAGTTGATAACTTGGAATTGACAGGAATGGTTGGAAATAATGATGGTTTATGTAGGATTCCACAACTGCTAAATGCCCAAGAGACCCTTTGTGTTACTTGTTAGATTATTGCAAGCATGACCTATGTATTTCGAGAGCCACAAAGGGACAGATTCTATTCTCAACGTTTTTTTAGAACAAAGCAACGCATTGATGAGATGCTCGGCAAATCCAAACAATGTCTATATCGACCAGGGGCTAATTAAGGATATTAATTGCAAGCCTTTGTTTTCTTTCTCATCTGAAAACAAAGGAGGGCAAAGGGAGATGGTGTCCAAGAGTAACTAGAGCCTCCATTTAGAAACAAAATAGGAAAAAAGTGCTAGTCTAGTTTTTACCGTCTGGATCTATAAATAGGATTGTAATCTATATAGATAGTAGGCGTAAAATTATCGTTCACGTCCATACCAACCTCTGGCGCATTAATTCTTGTAGGAATAAAATTCTAAGATAATTCCTTGATCCGATTCCAAAGAACCCAAGGATATCCGATATATGGTGTTCGGATGGTGCCGGGTGCAAGGGTGACCGCTTTCCGTACATTAAAGCGCCGAGCATCTGATAATATCACCCCACCAGCCCGGGTTTTGGGGTTGTCTACCATAAACTCAAGTTGATAAACGATGGTTATAGTAAGAAGCCGTAATTCTTCTGGGCGGCACACAGTCTTTGCTGTTTGTCGTTTTCCGTTGTTTTAACTCTCCAAGAACTCATAGGCACTATATAAATTCCCTGAGCAACCATCTAAGTCATACTGAACTCCGAACTCACTCTATTTCTATGTCTCTTTGATTGGCTCCGGAAGACGACATGCCGCCTGGGGTCACTCTTAGAAACCGAGGTAATATAAAATAGACTATCAAACCAAGGTAGCTGGAGGTTTGCTTTGGTGTCGAAGAAATACTCAGCTTGTTCGAAGTCGAGAAGTACTCCGTTATAACTCCACCGCTGGTCCCCCAGTAATATCGCTCAGTCAGTATAGTCGGCTACGTCGTCCCAACTTGAGCTTGGCCACAGGTCCCCCCCTCCCCCTCCAGCGCTTCTCGGTGTGGAGTTCGTGCATTCGGTTCTCGATTTTGGGCTAGTCAAGCTACGAGCCAAGCAGAGAAAAGGGTCCTGGAAAGTTCTGGGCATTGGACTTGTGGAGGGGGCCCTTCCTGCCTAGGGGACAAGCATGCCGATGGACGAGTCCCATTGCTTAAGGCGCGAGGCAATCGCGCACCCCGTCAGACCGCTTGGACACCTACACTAATGTAACAACCTAAAATGAAGGGGACTCTATAGTATGCTTTATTACATCATCGAAGAGCAAAATTAGGTAGCATTGGATCTCACAATAGAGTTCCATCCCTCGCATATATTATCCCGAGTTTCATCCTATAATATGGCCAAATATCTCCAATGCCACGAGTTCGCGGCTGAATAGAGGGTTGAGCGGAATCATGTGATCCGGGTATATCCGATGCTGACTGCAGTCTCACACGCTCTTTGTCATATGCAGGGATGTAGCATATGCAAGAATCCGAAAAATTCACCTCCTTTTCAGATTTACGAGAGAATCGAACGGACAACCAGCCACATGTAATAAAACATACGTTATATTTCCTATTCCATTCCCTTACGACCAGGTTGTATGTCGCATGACCCGAAAAGGCCGAGGCTTGGCCTACATGATCATCCTTCTTCCCCCGCATGCGCTTTGACATGGTCGATTCAGCGATGATCGATGATTATTGACACGGGTTGATTTTGAAATTTGGACAACTGTGTTACACTCTTCCAAGCCTCGCTCGAGACTCTTTTATCTATGTCGGTGGCGCCACAACGTATAGATTTAGTAGTATGGCGTCCTGCCTGTGACTTGGCCCCAGGGTGCTATGATCCCGTTTAGCGTCTTAGTGCTGACGGGTGGTATAATGTGGCTGTCCTTAGACAAAGCCACAGGTTTACTTTGGGGCTGATCTGCAGCTGTGTCAACCCCACGGGGAAAGTTTGATCTCTTTTTATATTCCGTGGGGTAGCCAATCTTTCCCAGTCTCCCTCCTAAACTTTTTTTTAAAACGTAAAACGAAAGATCTCCTGAATCTGAAAAAGCCACCAAAAAACTCCCCATCATGGATGAAAAGTCGGCTAAGGACCCTCCTCCTCACTATGAGAATGCGGTCTCAGGCAAGACAGAGCTGGATGAGGCAGCCAACCCAGGTGCACCTGAGCGCCGCCAGGCTGCTGGTATCAACATCGTTCAGAATCCGTTGATGGTAAGCCTACAACTGAAAGCTCCCATCTTTCATGGTCATGCCGAGCATGAGCACTGACCGTACTTGCGTCTACAGCGTAGCTCCAGGGAGCAGGCTATTATCGATGCCCAGGCGTACGCAGAGTCGCACAATATGAGCGAGTACGCCGATCTGTTTGGTCGGGCTGCTGTCGTTGCAAGGAGCCCCAAAGAATTCGAATCGGCTCCCGAGATTTATGAAGAGGAGCGCACCGCACTCGCATATGAGAGGGACCACAAATGGCACGGCCCGTTTATGCTTTGGTACTCAATTGGCCTGTGTGCTGTCGGAGCCGCTACACAAGGATGGGATCAGACTGGATCTAACGGTGCCAATTTGTCCTTCCCCAAGGAATTCGGTATTGATGGCGAGGGAAAAGATGAATGGATCGTGGGAATCGTCAACTCTATTATCTTCTTGACCGCTGGTCTTATGTAAGTCTAGCAGCAGCAGTGAGGAGTGATCTCCTTCTATGTTTGGCGACTGACTTCATAAACAGTGGTGCTTGGATTGTCGATCCACTTAACCACTATTTGGGTAGAAGAGGTGAGATTTTCGTCACTGCTCTCTGTCTCACTGCCACGCCAATCGGCTCTGGCTTTGCAAAGTCTTGGCAAGGACTATTTGTTGCGCGATTTGTGATGGGTATCGGCATTGGTGCAAAGAACGCTACGGTGCCTATCTACTCGGCTGAGATGGCTCCAGCCAGAACTCGAGGTGCTCTTGTCATGTTCTGGCAACTTTGGGTTGTAGCCGGTGGGTATCTCTCATCCCTCGTCAAGAAATATAGCTGATCTCTAGTGCAGGTATCTTCTTGGGCTTTGCTGCCAACGTTATTGTCAAAGACGTAAAAGATATTGCGTGGCGTCTCCAGCTCGGTTCCGCATTCATTCCATCTTTCATCCTCGGCGTTGGCATATTTTTCTGCCCAGAGTCTCCTCGTTGGCTTATGAAGCATAACAGACACGCCGAAGCATTCCAGTCGATGTTGCGGTTGCGAGCTCACCCGATTATCGCTGCGAGAGACTACTATTACTCATATGTTATCTATGAAGAGGAACTCAAGGAGGCACGGGGTGCAGGCTATTTCTCCCGTTTGTGGGACTGTTTTGCCGTGCCGAGAATCAGACGGGCTAACTATGGTGCCTCGACTGTTATGATTGCGCAGCAAATGTGCGGTATTAACAGTAAGTTATGTTTCATCCCATGGGAGTAGCAATTGGTAACACATTTTAGTCATTTCATTCTACAGCTCAACCATCTTCCGGGATGTCGGCTACACAGAAGACCAAGCCTTGTATGCGTCGCTTGGCTACGGTGCTATTCAAGTCGTGTCCACCATCCCTACTTTGTTCTTGATCGATACCAAAGGCCGAAGAACCCTGACCTTAATTGTGAGTCGTTCCAGGATCTTTTACAGAATATTACTGATTTGTTCTTACGAAGACATTCCCTTTGATGTGCATCTTTCTACTAGCCGGTGGTCTCTCTCTTTTGAACAACACGGACAATCACGCCGCAATGATTGCACCGGTTGCCTTGTAGGTTTAAGTATTATTTCTACTTTGTCCGAGCATAGACTGATTGAGATGGTCTTATTAGGTTTGTGTATCTGTTTACTATTGCCTACTCCTTAGGTGAAGGACCAGTCGCTTTCCAATACTCTGCTGAGGTATTCCCGACTATTCAGCGAGAACAAGGAATGGCGTGGGCTGTTTGCATCAACAACACTTTTGGTGGGTATTCCAAAATCAAATCCAATCGAGCATCGCATTAACAATATCTTCCCCAGCTGGCGTCCTTAGTCTAACTTTCCCTCGAATGATGACTGTGATGACCAAAACCGGTGCATGTAAGTTGACACACTTTTAAACCGCGATGTTCAAATTGCTGACCCTTCCTTTAGTTGGCTTCTATGCTGGTCTTAACCTGCTCGCTTGGTTTATGATCTTCTGCTTCGTCAGAGAGACCAAGCAGTTGACTCTAGAAGAATTGGATCGTAAGTCATCTCTCAAATTTACTTGAACATATACTGACATGTATTGCAGAGGTGTTCTCGGTGCCGACCAAGAAATTCATTCATTATGAACTCACTGTGTGGCTTCCTTGGTGGATCAAGCGATACATCTTCAGACAGAAGATTGAAAGGCCACCACAAATCATTGCACTTGGTGACGGGGTCAGGTAAACTCTCACAGATTTCCATGTGCTGGATATCTTCAGACTGAAACTGTTGGGTTGATGCCTTCTCTATCGCTGGTAACTTGGTATTTTCTTCATCCTTACCCCATGAGGTAGAGTGACCTACATGATAACCGCAATAATTCCGGTCGTTACATATGCAGAATAAATTTTTAGTATTGTTCAATGACTATTGAAGCAATAAGGCAATGGGGCAGTGAAATCATAACTATATCAGGTACCTGTAGGTAAACAAAGGGGATCCTTCGGCAGGAACAAATCGGCACGTCTTCAGATTTCTAAACTTCTGTCAAAGAGACTTTTCGCCTACTATTATTGGCATATTCTTCAACTTGTATTTTCATATCCCCTCACTACATTATGGATCAAACATGGGCAGAATGGCTCCAAGAAGGCATGTGGGAAAACATCCTCGGCGCGTCCGACCTTGTCAATGCGTGTATTTTTCCTTCGCAAGCCTCTATCCAATACACTGATCAACTCTTGCAGTGGTACCCGGTGCATTCGGAAGACACATTAAAGCAATTTGCACACAGAACACTGGATGATTTTCTTGGGATGATTGTTAATTTTATAGAGCAAAAGGACACCCTGCGATACAGGTTCAATGTCCGTGGACAGTTGAACTTCGACCGCCTGCATGATTGCTGCGTTGCTGTTGCGAAATTCGGATTCGAAGAGCCGGCGTACGCAGTTTTGTATATTCCCTCGTTTTGTCTGACGGTGCCTGAACTGGTTGCAGGGTTGCACGCAACATCACCGCTAAGGTCCTTCGACAAGGGACCGAATACATTTGAGGAACATGCCACCGCCATAGTGGTCCATGCGATTGTTTGAGTCTATTCAAGAATGATTTGCTCAGGACGCCGGTATGGGTATATCTACACAGGAGAGGCCTTGGTATTTCTTCACATCCCCTTAGATGATTGTAGTGTTGTCGAATACTATCTCTGTGTTCCCACGCAAGACATCGATTCTCATGGCTATGATGCGGATTCAAACTGGGTTCGCCGGTCGGCTTTGGGCCGAGTCCTCGCTTTCGCACTACAATCTTTAAATTCCACTCCACCATCGCAGGAATGGCAAGACGCAGTTTATCAGTCCTATCGCCCTCTCGAAGACGATTATTCGATCTTCATGCCCCAAGCCCCGGATGACCTTCGACTCCGCCCACCAGCAGAGTTCATGTATGAAAACTCATTCTGGCCGAGATTCTGGGGCAACCTTCTGTATGCAAACATACCAAGGGGAAATTCTGTAGGCTCCGGTCCACAACAGTCGGACGTTTTTAGGCCTTACTGTACCCAGGCATGTCTTCGGGGCACCTTTGAAAAGGATCTTTTAGATCAAAACTGTCCGAACGCTGATAAGCATGGCGTAGTAAAACACCGAATCAACTCACAGGAGATCTGCGAGAGGATGAATGAACAACTTCGAGCGAATCGGTATAGAGGATTCCAGCAGCTACATATTACCGGTCGAGTCTGTTATCTGTCAAAAGCAACACTGCTATCTCATGGGTACACGATGTTGATCAAGGCCACCAGTATGAGGCAGTCGGACAGGATCCATGCTGAATTGGAGAACTATGAGAATTTGATGTCGTTGCAGGGGTGTCAAATTCCGGTATGTCTTGGGATGTTTTCACCCAAGATCCCATATTGGTATCACGGGGTTAGAATGGAATACATGCTGCTTCTCAGCTGGTCTGGCATCCGAACGGAGGAGGAGCATGCGACCCTCGAAACGTGTCAGTTCCTCGAACAGGAGATGCATAAACTTCAGGATGTATTTCAAGAACACGGAGTTATTCAAAGAGATGCATCCTTCCGAAATGTGCTGTGGAATCCCATGTCACAATCCTTCGTGATGATTGACTTGGAAGATTTGAAGTATGTGAATGGCGTTTCAGAGAGCTCCGAGGGACATGGCAGCCAGCAAACCCGGTCCAGTGGCTACATTGCAGATGATGACAGGTAACCTTCGATTTTTGGTGCTCACAAAAGATATTGTGAGCAATAGTTGGCGGAGGTGGAAGAAAGGGTGCTGCAAAAGATTCTATATTTATTCCCAAGGCTATCTTTATTCTGGGTGTCACCTTCTTTGATGCCTGTAAAGTCGCTTCAATCCTGTGTAAATTGCAGTGCAAGAAACAAAACCCGTAATTGGGATCATTCCAGATCAAAAGTCTATTAGAAATGGGTTAGCACTGGATGATTACTTCAAATCGCGAATGAACATACCATATCAAACCAAACACCACCTGCAAAGGTGGATTGACTTTTCCCCTGGTTCTTAAAACCAACGCTCTCATAGAAATTTACCAAGTAGTCATGCGCAATAAGCACAACCTTGCTTGCCCCAAAACACCCCCTCCCAAGATGCTCAAGGTACGCCCGGACGAGAGCTCTCCCAACCTTCTTGCCCTGATACTCCGGCGAAATAGCAACAGAGTGAACTGCAATGCTATCACCATACTTGTGATTCCCGATTAACTCATCATTGACGAAAACAGGCTCATCATCCAGTGATCGCCAATTCTCCGGCATTGACATCGATCCGTCCGTGATACGTGTATAGGGAGAGCGGACTGCAATGACATGGCCAATGAGTGTAGGTGAAGCTGCGTCTTGCTCATTCTCAACAAAGAGTCCCAGACATAGTTCCGGGCATGCTCCCAGACGATAACAGAACTTACTCCGTGTCAGAAGAAACAATCTTGGAAATAACTCATTTGGTTCAGGCTCGGGCTTACCTTTTCCTCGGAGCATCGCTCTGCCTCTGTAAAGGCTTCTTCGACAGCTACGCAGATCTTCACATCTTCCTTGTTCAGAGTCCGGGTGAAGGCATTGGTTCCGCCGAGGCTTGGAATGTGGATGTTGGTCCGGGTCATGATGTGATGCTTATATTGATTTTCAGGGATGAGTAATAGATTGTAATAGAAAATAAGTATAAAATTAATCTAACAAGAGCCAAAAAGATAGAATCAATGCCCTTTTAATGAGTCAGGGCCATTTCTATATCGGCGGGTGGAGTAAGACAAACCGGAGTATTCGGACCGGAGTGTTCGGCGTGGACAACCCCGTGGAGAACCTCAAATGGTCGATCACTACGGAAAACGTGAAATCCGGAGCAAAAGTGGATATTGAGCGTTATCGATGCAATGCATTACTTCTAGATGGTCAAGGGGCTCACGCCCTATCAACTACACCGCTACTGTGCCCCGTAGTAGATAGCATTCACTGGATTGTGGTCAATGGTTGTTTCCGTAGAAGTTATGTGCGCTATATATATATATATCCCTCAACTCAAGTTGAGGCATGAAAGATGGCAGCTCGGGTTTCATGCTTTGTTGTTGCTCATCATTGTCAAGAAAATTGGGAACTAGCCCTGGTGACCTTACATTTAGCAGTAGCTTGATCGGAGATGAGATAATTTACAGATTGACTAGCTAATATTACATGCTGTCGCTTCCAGCCATTCACAATTTCGCCAACAAGGACTCAACAAATGTGCGCAGTCCATCCAACGACACATCCTCCTTAACGCCCAACCGACGGCACTGCACCTCCAGAGTTTCCTTCTTCTTCCACCCATTACCAACAACAACAATGATAGGGTATCCAATCAAATCTGCGTCACCAAGTTTCCAGCCCATACTCTTGTCACGGTCATCGAGGATAACATCGACAGGAGCCGCGGCATCGCCGGTAAGACTATCATAGACCTGATCCGCAACGGTTTCCAGCCCCTTTCCTGGAACCACCACAACCTCATAGGGTGCCATAGCACGTGGCCAATTGAGTCCCTTGGAATCAGCAAGGCGGTTCGCCACTGCGGAGATCATACGCGAGACACCGATACCGTGACATCCCATCTGCATGGGTACGATTTGTTCCTTGGCTGAGGATTTCGCATCTGCATCCGAAGATCCCTCGAGAAGAGCAGAGTTGACAGAAACAGACGCATTCAAGACTTTGCTGTATCGAGTTCCTAGGTGGAATGTGTGTCCTAGCTCCACGGCAGAGTGACTAGTCAAAGTTCCATGTGCGCACTGCGAGCACTGGTCTCCGTCATGCACACGGACAAGGCTGAGTTTGTTTGAAGTCCCAGGGAATCGGTCCAGCTTAGAGTAATCTATGTCCGAGGCCGTGCAGCCAACTTCCTGGAGGAGATCACTCAGCGGAGGGCGCTGGTATACCCGAACCTGCGAGTCGTATAGGTCCAACACGCGCGGCTTATGCGTCGAGGACTTGTTTGCCTTTACGTGGGCGGTCCATCGCTCTAGTGGGTTCTCCACGCTTAGATCGAGATCAATACCAGCGGCGGTCGCTACCGCCTTGACGGCGTGTGAGTTGACATGGCGCTCAACAGGCTCTGTCGCGCCGTTCTGCATTGAAAACTTGGGGTGCCAGCTCCGCACGATGGTGTTGCTATCGTGAGAGATAGCCATCCACATGCCAGTTGAAATTGTGGGTCCACCTTCGACAAGTTTATCATCGGTCTGGAAGCCAGGTGCAGTGGTCTGCTCGGACTCCTCAGAGCTGTGCGTCTTGCCGTCTGCAAGTTCTTCGTTATATACATGGTCACAGTGTGAGCAGCTGACCACTTCGTCCTCGCCCTTGGGACTGATGAAGTGGTACTCATGGCTCAATGAGCCGCCCATATTCCCCGAGTCTGCTGCCGCGACCAGGTAGGGAATCTTGAGTTCATCGAATAATTGGGTATAGGCATGTTTGACTGCTTCATATGTTTTCAGCGCTTCGCTGACACTGTAGTCGAATGTATAGAGGTCTTTCATGATAAACTCTCGCCCACGAAGCAGGCCCTGTCTGGGCCGGGCTTCATCTCTGTACTTTCGCGCTTCATTTATCATTGCGTCAGTGAATTTCACAAGCACCAGGCATATAAATGTTCTCACATATTTGATATACCCGCAGAGGCAGGCTCTTGTATGATGTTGTTAGATTCCCCACAAGTGTTGTAATTTCTTCCTCGTGTGTTGGGGCCAGGAGAAATGGGGTGTCTTTCCGATCATGAAATCGGAATAGCTAGTTTGGATGTTAGTGACATTTTGAAAGACAGTGGGTATGATCAACCTACTTCTGAGCCGTCGGTCAGTCTGCCAGACTGTCCCCATAATTCTTGCGAGGATATCGAGGACAAAGAGACCTTAGATGCGCCTGGATTTGCTTTAGTTACCATCCCATGCCAGACACGGGGTATATTCCATACCGAGTGAGCGCATATGCTTGTCAATCAGGCGCTCAAGCTTATCTTGAACGCGTAAACCGAGTGGGAGTAGATGAAACACTCCAGAGTATGCCTGGAGGGCTGTCAGAGATATTTAATTGGATACAAAGATGTGATTGCTCACCTGTCGGAGGAAACCACCTCGGACTAGCAGGTCATTGGCATCCTCTAGACCTCCGTTAATATCTGGTGATAATCAATTCCTATCGGGGTTCTGAATGGCGTACCCTTTTCACCATCAACGGGCTTCTTGGAAATACCACCTGTAGGGATCCAGATATTTGAAACACGGCTTCTGCCGTCAACCTACACCGAGTCAGTACTCACTATCAAGGGTATTTAACCAATATTTTGGAAGCGCGTACATGAAGATTGCATTGCTGAACGCGCAGGCTCAACGCTAGCCGCCGCCCGGCTATGGGCCCTGATAGAGGTCGTAGCCTAGAAATCATCGATCAAGATATTCCAAGGCGTCGAAAACTATTATTTTTGGCAATTGAATTGCTGGCCAAACACAAAATAAATTGTAGAGCAAGCCGAGTCTCCCTTCTCCGATGTTTCTTATCGTGTTGGTCCGAGCGCCCCGATAACCCGCCGCAAAAGATTTCTCCGTTCAATTTTCTTTCCTCCATCAGTCAACCACAAACAAAATACACCATGGCTGCAGGGAAAGGAAAGCGCTCTTCGGGCGCTAATGAGATTGCTCCTGCGACGAGCGTCTCAGCTCCCGCTGCGGAAACTACGCCATTCATGCCGGACGAGAGTGCCTTCGCAGGTCTACGACAAAAAATCGAACAGCGTTTGAAGAACCAGAATCAGAGCACCGGGAAAGGCAAGAAAGATAATACCAAGACATCGGCCCCTACCTCCAATGCTTCCGCAAACAAAGGAAAACAATCTCCCGCCAAGCCCGGCCGCCCTCAAGATTCTGCCCAAGGCAAGAAGCGGGATCGCAACGGCGAGGTGATTGCTCGCGAGCAGAACAAGGGTGGAATTGCCAAGCAAGAAAAGCCCAAAGCTGGCAAGAAGAGCAACGATGACGAAACACTGCGCCAGGAAATTCTAGCTATGGGTGGTACCGAGGAGGATCTTGATCTACTTGCTGGTGTCGACTCTGAGTCTGAAGTTGAGGGCGAGTCCGGCAATGTTGACGATGATCTTCGGAAGCAGCTTTCTAGCATGTTGGAGGCTTCAGGCCATGTCGTGCCCGAGGATCTAGCGGATGACGAAGTCGAAGACGTCGAAGAGGAAATAGAGAGCGAGGATGATATCGAGGACAGTGAGGACAATGCTGAGAGCAGCGGGCCAGAATCCGATATCGAAGAAGCCCCGGCCCCGATGCCAAAGCAGTCTGAATCTGTAGTTCCCAAGGAGTACTTGAAGCTGGTAAGTCATGGACCATCCTGGCACCAAACGCCTTTTGCTAATTTGATCATTATAGAATGTTCTTCCTCGGTCCGACTGGTACAATATCCCCATGCCCTCCTCCGCCGACGACACGAAACATATGAACGCTTTACCCCGCCATCTTATGGAGCGCGTCCACGAGCTGGCCAACAAATTGCTACAGGAAGAAAATGAGGAGTATGCGGCCGCCCAGAGGGCATCTGCTTCTTCTTCCCACAAGTTCTACTCCACCATTATGGCGTCTGGTACCCTGAGCGATAAAATCTCCGCCTTGACTCTTAACGTTCAAGAGTCGCCTTTGCACAACACCAAGGCACTGGAGACCTTGATTGGTCTCGGAAAGAAGCGTAGCCGTGCGCAGGCAGTTGAAGTTCTGCGATCATTGAAGGATATGTTCGCGCAGGGTACTCTGCTGCCCAGTGACCGACGATTGAAGTCTTTCACCAATCAGCCCGGGCTCGTCGCAGCATTCCAAGGCGCCGGTGGGCGGTGGAACGAGAAAGAGCCTCTTCCGGGTGGTTTGAAAAAGAGCCAGCTGATTGTGTGGGCCTTTGAAAACTTCGTGAAAGATCAATTCTTCGAAGTTATCAAGATTCTCGAGATCTGGTGCAATGACGAGATTGAATTCTCACGGACCCGTGCCGTCAGTTACGTCTACGAACTTCTCAAGGAGAAGCCCGAGCAGGAGACCAATCTTCTTCGACTTTTGGTCAATAAGCTCGGAGATCCCGGCAAGAAGATCGCCTCTCGGGCATCATACCTGTTGCTGCAACTCATGCAGTCGCATCCTATGATGAAGCCGATTATCATCAAGTCAGTGGAAGAAGTGCTGTTCCGCCCTGGCCAGAGCTCTCACGCCAAGTACTACGCTGTGATCACTCTGAACCAGACCATCTTGAGACTGAAGGAAGAAAAGGTGGCAGCTCAGCTGTTGGACATCTACTTTGGACTGTTCCTCGTGCTTCTGAAGCCCTCCCACCAGGGCAAGCCCGCTTCCAACGGGAAGCCTGCTTCTAAGGGGAAATATAACAAGCATGGAAAGGGACCGAAGGGCAAAGGCGACGACGATGCTACCAAAGGACAGGCCCAGGACGATGAAATGCGGGAGAAGCTTATCTCTGGTGTCTTGACTGGTGTCAACCGTGCTTATCCTTTCACTGACTCTGATTCCGAGCGGTATGTTTCTTTTCTAACACCATATTCCTCCATACCGTATACTGACTTCTACTAGCATGTCCAAGCACCTCGATACTTTGTTCCGTATCACACACTCCTCGAACTTCAACACCAGCATTCAAGCTCTCATGCTGATTCAACAGCTTACGGTGTCTAACCAAGTCTCTGGCGACCGCTTCTACCGCACTCTGTATGAGTCCTTGCTGGACCCCCGCGTGGCCACCTCATCAAAGCAATCTCTCTACCTCAACCTCCTATTCAAGTCTCTTAAGAATGATCTCAACGTCCGCCGAGTTAAGGCATTCGTGAAGCGTCTTGTCCAAGTACTTGGCATGCACCAACCCTCTTTCATCTGCGGTGTCTTCTTCATGATCCGCGAGCTCGAGAAGACCTTCACAGGCCTTTCGTCCTTGGTTGATCAGCCGGAGGAGAATGACGATGATGATGAAGAGGTCTTCCGTGACGTCCTCGACGAGGATGACGAACAACCAGAACCTGCTCCTGTCGTCGAAGCCAAGAAGCAGAGCAACGTATACGATCCCCGCAAGCGAGACCCCGAGCACAGCAATGCTGACCGGAGTTGTCTTTGGGAATTGCTGCCTTTCACCACTCACTTCCATCCTTCCGTCTCTCTTAACGCTACCAATCTGCTTGAGCACAACCCCATGAGTGGCAAGCCAGATCTGACTCTGCACACTCTCACTCACTTCCTCGACCGCTTCGTATACCGCACGCCCAAGGCCAACGCCAGCTCCCGCGGTGCTTCTATCATGCAGCCCCTGGGTGGTAGTGAAGCCGCCGACCGGTTGGTGGAGGCTGGTAAGAACGCACAGAACCAGATGCCGCTCAACACCGAAGCCTTTTGGAAGAAGAAGGCCAACGATGTTGCCGCGGAGGATGTCTTCTTCCACGAATACTTCACTCGTGTCAACAAGGACAAGGAGAAGGTGCGTTCCAAGAAGAGCAAGGACGCCGATGCCGAAGATCAGTCCGACGAAGGTCTCAGCGGAGACGAGGATGAAATCTGGAAAGCTCTCGTCGACTCTCGCCCCGAGCTGGAAGCCGACGAGGACAGCGACGACGATCTGGACATGTCCGATTTGGAATCCGCCTTCGACTCCGGCGAAGATGGGGAAGGTGCGGACGAGGACGACTCCGACGGTGGCGTCATCTTCAACGACGAGTCCGATGTTCCTTCCGACGAGGAAATGGCCGAGTTCAGCGAGCCCGAGGAAGCCGCGCCCCCGGTCAAGTCCAAGAAGGCCGCCAAGAAACCCTCCAAGGAAGCCGAGGAGGACTCAGACGATTTCGACATGGATGTCTCGGACGACGATGCCTTCATCGACAGCGACGAGGAGCTGCCATCGGATATGGAATTGGGTGGAATCGATCTCGAAGAGCCCGAAAAGCCCGCCGATGCTGCTGCCCCCGAATCGAACCGCAGCAAGCGTCGCAAGCTCAAGCAGCTGCCCACTTTCGCCTCCGCGGACGATTACGCTGCGCTGTTGGACGCCGAGGACGATGGGATGTAATCTGTTTATTCTTGCACAGAAAGAGTTCGATTATTTCGTACTCCCAATGGGGGCCAAAATTCCTGTTTTGCATCTGGAGTTGTTACAGGTTGCACACATTCTGCCTTTTTTTTTATTTCTTATTTTTCATTGTTGTCTATATCTACCTTATCTACTATCTATTCCGTCTCTGGACGCTGCAGTCAATACAAGCTCTTTGGAATATGCCCAGGACCTAGACCTAACAAGCCTGCTGATCTCAAAACCAAGCCTTACCCCTCTCTAGGCAAAAGTACGTCGTCCTATAGGACAGCTTCGGTTGTCCAATCAAAGGGGTACGCTTTATACTGCTGGTAAATTTTGGGTTTCAGCAAGGTCGCAAGGGATACGGAGGGACTGACTGTACGGAGTACGGAGCACTGCGTGCATATAAAAGATCTCAAAGTATATTGTAGTAAATGTCGCGCATCATAAGGTCATAGAGTAAAAATTACACAGGGAACATGTTATTAAATACCGAGGGCATCCAAATAAGCTCAGATCTTTCTGTGGCTTGAAAGCCCCCCCAAATCCCTCGACACCACCCGGAGTACGCCGTGTGGATCTTGATGCCATCGCTGCGGGTTCGCACGCAAGAGCGGCTGATGGGGCCGAGGGCCAGAACTACGGCGACTAGGTATGCCACCGGGACACAGCTCTCTTATTGGTTCATATTGCCAGGCAGTATTTTAGATCCGCCCTCACTTTATCAAATGTTAGTTATACTCCGTGCGGAGTACGGAGTACATGGAATGGAATTCTCTTGCACAGAATATGTTTTTTTTACTGCCTTCGTATATACCTAAAAAGAGTATCAAAAAGACCAATAAAAAGACAAACAAAAAGATATAAGGCTGTATAAGCGGCCGACTATTCATAAAATTACTATATTAAAAGTGTAAAAGAGAGGTTGAAATTAGTACACAACTAGATTAAAATTAGCATGCTTCGAGGGAGCGGTGAGAAAAGCGGTCAGGTAGTATTCAATGAGAGAGTTGTACCCCGGTGGCACATTTAGTCGCCCGTACAGAACGTTCAACGTTCAATGTTGTTTACTGTTTTTGTAACAGTATTCAATATTTTCTTTTGTTAGATACCATGCCAGGTATGTATCTTGGAATACCTAGGTGCATATTATGTGTTTGGGCATGGTTTATGCTTGATTCCAAGCAAGGGGCCGGGGCCTCAGGGGCCAGACTCTGAGTCAGCAGCACGTGGTATGTATTTTGTTGGCCTCAGGCAGAAAGAAGCAGAAAACCTAAGTGCAAAGTCAAGCCCAAAGTCAATATTTGACAACTTTTGCCGATCCTTCCATAAAT